AAAATGGTGGTATATACGTTATTTTCCCCTGTGCAATTCCAGTCTGACATGTCACATCACATCGTCATAAACAAATACCGGAAACAGACCGAACACACTTTATTCCGAGTGTGCTTGCTTTTCTCTTTGGAGGTCATCACATAACGGCATTGTAATACACGGTTCGGCTGCATTAAATGTTACATATCTGCTGTAATTCTCTATTTATAGAGCCTTGATGAGAAGACTTTTAGACAAACATGAGGAACTGCCGCCAACACTGAAAACGTGACGTGGATCATAAATATATCAGCAATTAAACAACATCTTACATTTATTTTCACACAATACATCTCCTTACAGTATCAACACTAATTCGGCTGACTTTTATATTTGATCCAATTGGTAGATAGGCTGTATTTACACCATAAACGTGCACTCCTGATATAAAGGGACACCTAGTGGTTAAAGTATGTTATTGAATTTCATTATTTTTATTATTAGATATTAATAGGATCCCTATAAAGTATATTCATTACTCGTTATTCTCTACTAATAGTTAATTAAAGACTGTATATAATGACTATTTTGCACATCCCTTTCAAGATTTCAAGATTTTCTAAGGTTTATTGACATATATACACAAACGGTGTAGTTATGCAATGAATAAAAAACTTTGTGTATACCTCCAGCAATAACTGATATTATACATATTATACTCTTATATAAGATGTATGTAGTAGATAGTATAAGAAATGTGCAGAATATGACAGTTTAATGGTGGAGGTATACACAAATATTGATAGATGTCTTGTAATGCACTGTTGAGGAACCTGCGACCCAAGTTTTTCATCCCCGGCCTTGTCAGGCATTGAACAATCAATAAATAAAGAACACAGAATTATTAAATATAAAACACAGAATTTGTGTGATTATACTAAATGATTTACAAATAAATACTACTGCATATTTACAACTATGTACATCCCTGGAGGTTTAGGGGATAGGAAACACTCAAATTTAAAACATATAATTAATAAATGGGTGAAATTTGCTTGTGCCCATAATGGGCAGCATTAATATATACCCACATGACAGCTAAGGTCAGAAGAGCTTTATCTAACAGCTGGTCTTATGTTTGTGACCCCTCCTGTTGTTAATTGATAAGCCTGAAACATGCACTTGTCAAGGTTCAGATGCACATTTTGCAAATATGGCAGTAGCCATCGATCATCTTAAGATAAGATATACTTTATTGATCCCAAGTTGGAAAGATTTGCGTTACATCAGCATGTGTAACAGTTGTAAATATGCAGTGGTGTTTATTTGTAAATCATTTAGTATAATACACAAACAAAAATCAACACAAAGTGGGATCTACACATCTTTTATTGCCGAGTTTCCATGATGGAGGTTTCAACCAGAGTGGAATCACAATCACAACCGTCAACAAAAGAAGGTTTCCTTTAACATAATGTCATGAGTGTGAAATCAATCTGAATAATAGTTGACATTCTACAGATATTGATATAGTGTAATGTTTTTATAGTCGTTTTTAGCTGAAAACCAAGAAGGAGGCACCGACACAACGTGTCACACTGTCTGCAGACAGTGTGATACTGAAGCCAATGAGGGCCTGCTCTTCTTCTGTCATGTACACTCACGTTCTAAACACCCCCCCCAGCTTTTCATAAGAAGCTGATTATTTATCCTGCCTTTAAGTTCCAGGCTGAGGCTCAGAGCAGCCGGTTAGTCCACAGCTGTGGTGCAGCAGGCTGGGGCCCGGATGGAGCCCATCATCCTGCTCCTCTTCCTCTGACAGCTCCCCGCCTCCTGCTGGGAGGTGCTGGTGTTCTGGCGGCTCAGCTTGGCTGCGTGGCTGGCTGTCTCCTTGATCTGCAGCTCCAGGTGCTTCTGGATGGCCAGGCCCAGCTCCTCTGGGTCCACTGAGGCCCCGTACACCTCCCAGGTCATCCCTTCAGCATCCCACTTTACCTCCTTCACCGGGGACTTGGCAGCACCGCCCCCCTTCCTGCCTCCATTACTGTCAGTGTTAGTCTGTGTCCTGCTATCCTCCGCCAGACAAATCTCTGGGAAGACATGGGGGGTCGCAGTCGGCGCCGTCTGCACCCCCACATCCCTTAGCTGTCTGTGGGTCGTCATGGTCCCCATGTCCCGATTTGTGGTTCTGACATGGCTGCAGCATTCCTCTCCACCAAAGTGCCTTGGAGCTGGGGGTGCAGGCAGCCGGCTGTAGGAGAGGCCCAGGCTGCAGCAGCGCAGGTGTTTGCTGTCCAGACCCGTCTCACTGACGGAGGACACGAGGCGGGGAAGGGTGAGATGGTTGGTCACTGAGGGGGGGCCTGCCCGCTGGATGTCACAGTGTGGCTCTCCGCCTGCCAAATGGTGCAGCAGCTGGGGGTGTGCGGGGAGGGGCTGGGGGTGGCAGTACGCTGCAAACGTGTCCTCAAAGGTCACATGGTAGGAGCCGCAGCACAGAGGCTGCTCACATTTAGGGGGGAGTTTTTCTTTAACACCCACCATCCTGGCTGTGGCCTGGGGGGCGGAGACACAGACACACCTGCTGTGAGGTAGTGTGTCTCGACTGCTGCCCCCCCGGCAGGTGGTGGTGATGATGCTGCGCTGCTGCAGCTGCATGGGCTGCTTGCAAGCCAACATGGAGGGGCTGGCCTGACTCCTCCCCCCCCCATGGTAAGAGAGTCCACAAGTGTCTGTGAGAGGAGGCAGGGGGGCCACAGGTCTGTACGTAGTGTCTGGGTGGCTCTTGTGTACAGGAAGGAAGGGGGGCTCTATGCCCTGCACCGTCCCTCCAGCCTGAGGGGGGGGCATTGCTGCAGTCACCACGGCCTTGTCTGGATGTTGGGGGGTGTATTTCTCTGCCAGACTATGGGGGGGCCTTGGACCCTTATAGGGCACAAAGTGTTCACATTGGCTTTTTCCCTGTCCCCCCACCCTCAGACTGAAGCCGTCACTTCCAGAATGTTCCTGATGGAGCTCCTGTGGGGGGGGGCAGGCTGTTGCTCCCGGTGGTCTGCAGGCTGCTGCCGGCTGTGCCCAGGTCCTGGAGGGGTCACAGAGGGGTTGACCAGAGAGTGCGACGGCCACCCCTCCAGGCTTCAGCTCTGACACAGGACCCCCGGTCTCTGCCATGGAACACCTGAAAGAAGAAATACAACATGAGTCACAGGAAGTCACCATGGCCCCCACCTTTTACGTTTAAAATGTTGTGCGTCAGAATAACAATTGTACATTTCACTTCACTGATATATTATGCTATTTTTCCTCAATTCAATAACACACATTTAAATATATATATTAATATGGTGTGAGTGGAAAGGCATTGTGTGCAGACGCTGCCCTCTACAGGCAGCAGGAGGACAGGCAGCTGTGACAGCAGTAACGGTCAGAGCTGGTTACTTACTGCACCTTTCTATCTGCTTGTTGAAAATATCTCTGAGCTATAAAGTGGTATTTCCTAAATGTTAGAAAAAATAAAACATCTAAAAGTGAACAAATTCAAATGTCAATGTCAAAGGGGCTTCTGGGGGCACAGAGCATCCTCCAATCATCACACATAGAACTGAGGCTGTGTGTGAACATGTGTCTCATGAAGGAAATAAATTGCAAGTTGCGGTAATTGCAATCACTTCCAGAACACAAAAACAATCACTATGTGCAATCTTCACAGTCAGTAATTGAAATGAACATTATAAATGAAGTGTGCTCAATCCAAAGCACCTGCTCCCCCCCTGCCAACTGTTAGAATAATGACAGAATGGTGGCTCTAGGAGTACACATATTCCTGAAAGCATTCTGAGCATTCAAACATGAGAGTATAACAGCAAATACAGTATTTTATTAGTATTTATCTGTCACTGCTTAGAAAAGAAATCTATTAATGATGATTATCAGTCTAATAGGCAGGACCACATGCACATTTGGCACCATTTTATAATGACAACCTGAATAGAACACATGAGTGTTTTTTAACAATCCCGTTGGGGCTTTCTTTCCTTTTTATCAAATAGAACAATGTTCAGCCGGTCGGACCTGGACCGGCCGGCTGCGGGGGGGTCAGCGTTAGCACATGGCTCTACAGTCTGCATATCAGCCTCAGCTTCATGCGTTTGTTTCCTCTGACTCACAAACACTTTGTTTCAATCCCATTTAATGAACATGTTGATGAATACGCCCAGTGTTGATGTGGTGAGCCTAGCTTAACATGGAGACTGGAAATTGTGGATTTTAAATGTCTGTTGGTGGACAGATTAGACAGACATGACACAACATGTTGATCAGTGATCTGTGGAGATGTTGGAAAGTGTATTTTTTAACTTTTCACAGAACTCTGTGTCTTTATGCTAAGCTAGGCTAACCACGCCTTGACTCCAGCTCTAAATTGTATACGTATGACATGAGGTTGACATTGTTCTTCTCAGCTTTTATTTGAACAGAAACAGTTCAGGGCTGATTGGGCTGGCTGCTGTTACGTCATGACAGCGTGTGTTAAAGTCCCATATTAGAAACTGTATTTTAAGAAAAATATTTTGGGCAAACAGAATTGAACTCTTTTTAAATAAAAAAACTGATGCAATTTTAAATGCTTGTTTTAGGAGGTTTAACTTTCAAACCTGATATAATTTTTGTAATGTTTAATTACAAATGCAGGCCCACATAGATAACGTAGGCGGGAATCTCCAGTTAGAGACTCCTGGATGCTGAAAGGAGGTTAGGAGGTGGGCTGAACCAGAACCAGACTCCACACCATCGTCAGGACCTCACACCCATATGATCCAAGTATTCCCGAGCAGAAAAGATTCCAACATTTCCTCCAGCAGCTAGCTTACCTTCACAGATCCTCCCTGCTGAGCTCTTCTCTCCTCGGTGTGTCGGCTGATGGGTGCAGGTCCTCCTCCCCCTGCTCACATCCACAGGTGACCTCTCCCTCCTCTCTATCTGTGACTACACTCCATTCACTGAGCTGCATGTCATCCTCTCTGCTCTGCCTCCTTTTTCTCAGCAGCCCCCGGCAGAGAACAAGATGGAGATAATCCGTTCCTTCCTCTGATTACAAACGTGAGGATGCAATCTTCAAATCCCTGCTCTGTGAGAGGAGCTGTGAGAGGCTGGCTTATCCAGCTGTGGTGGGAGACGGATGGAGGGGGTGGGGGAATAATAATGAGAGAAGATATTCAGCGTCATTCTCCTCCACCTTGGCGGG